GTATATCAAAAGAAAAAAAATCAGATTTTTTTTTGAAATTATTTTCAGAACTTAAATTGGATTGACAATCGAAATCTCACACGTATACCAATACAATTCCGATCCAAATAATTTCGGAAAAAATCGAAATTCAGAATTTTGAAATTCGGTTTGACAAATATTGCTCCAAAATTGATTTTTTGGACCGAAACCGGCGGAAATCAGATGTTTTTATATTCACCATTCTATTTATAACTTAAGAAACATATATATAGTGAACACCACATCACGCCTTTTTTACTTTTATTATATTAATCAAGCACACGATGCAGTCAAATTAAGCAAACATGTATATAATTGAATTGACTAAATTTATTAATAGTATAACCCCGAGATTATTCAATAATTGCACTTTAGCCCATCCTATAACCAATCGAGCCATCAAAGCCCATTTGTTAACAAATCTAAATATTTGGGCTTAAATGTTAGCCCAAAACATCTCCCTCTCTCTCTCTCTCTCTCTTCCTCTCTAATATAATAATAATATGGGAAAAATATATTTTGTGTCCCTCAAGTTTGCACCAATTTCATATTCTGTCCCCATGTTCACAAAAAAGACATATTTAGTCCTTAATATTTAAAAAATGCAATATTTTTAGTCATTTCCGTCAATTTCACGTTAAAAATAACAGAATGAAGCGTGTCACCGTCACTCCCTTAACCAACCTACTAGCGGTAGATTGATGGAAATTGATATGCCTATTGGCCCAGCCCAATAGCCCACATTTACTGGGCCACAGGCCCAAATTAATAGTTATTTATACGAAGGCCCAATCATACCCAAAGAAGGTTGGGTCCGCTAAATTGATCTCGGCCCAATCAATAAAGTATAAATACAACTTAAATTCATTTTATAAAGGTACGTTATTATTATTCAATCAATTCCTCTTTTCGAATTCTCTCAACATTTACCAACTATCTTCACGTCTGACTTGAGCGTCGGAGGGGTTTCCGCCGGATCAACCCCCGGCTTAGATTACGTGTTTTCTGTTCGCAGGATCCCAGAGCAAATTAAAGTTCTCAGGACTATCTAGCTCGTGAGCACGTGACCTACTTTGCTCTCCCAGCTTCAACACATTAGGTGATTTATTTTTTACGTCATCAGAAATGACCAAGAGTGTTAAACTATTGGAATATTAGGGACCAAATGTTATTTTGTGAACATAGGGGAACAAATATAAAATTAGTGCAAACTTTAGGGGTAAAAACTGTAATTTCCCCAGAATAATACGAATGAATGTTGAATAATCAAAAGAGAGTGTTGAATAATATAATTCTCCATCTTTCTGTGAGACCTGAAATTCCAGCTACTACAGAATCATCTTCAACAAGAGTACGCCCCTTCTCCCACTACCTACGTATATATATATTCTCTGTGTGTGTGTGATTGTGCGTGTTTATATTCTTCTTTTTGCGCTATTTTATTCGTTTATTCTTTTAATTTTTTTATTTAGTGTTAAAAAAAACAAAATTGTATTCCGCTGACCAAATCGTTGTGAAGAAAATTCAGAAAGGAAACTGAATTGAAATTGCTGCTAACAAATTAAGAATATCGGAAATTTGAAATAAATGTGGGTCAGTTAATTAGGTTTCGATTTTGTTTTTTCAGTTTGCTGTACTCGAATCATTTATTTTGTAGCTCACGAATCACTGATCGGAAATTTGTTGATACTGTTGTTTTTTTGTAGAATTAGGTATCTGGAATTTATCTATTATTTTTTGTTTTAATTTTATCTGATGGTGTTCTTTGTGTGGTGATGGAATCTTTGTGCAGAGGCGAAATTTGTAGATTGAATTTTGTTTTTTGCTCCCTCTTGGAATCTGATTTTGGGATATAATGGCTGGTGAGGATGATTTCACCTTTTGTCCGGTATGTTCTTCGATGTTTTTCATGAACTATTTCGTATTGTAGTTTCAATTTATTGGCAAATTACTTGCTCGTTTTTGGGGCGGTTTTCCCTAAATCGTGTATAAAGATCAATATGAGTTGCTTTTTATCGACTTGTTTTCAAACTTTAATTCTGGCGTCTGC